GTTGCAGTTACAGTGAAAGAAAGTGATCTTTTTCAAGAATGTTGATGATGAAGCAACAAAGTTGGTGTATGCTGACACCCTTCCAAACCATTTCAGCACTCAATACTGAAAACCTGTAAGAATGTAAATATTTTTAGACCTACAAAACTTTTCTCTGACTCTACCTGTTTCCCAGTCTGATGCACAGGTGTTCTTTAAAGATGCCACCCATTTTTGCTCTCTTACTGGATGGAGAAGCCACCTTACATCCTTCACCATCAAAAGCCTTTAATTTTTCATTAGCATACTGGTAGTTACAGAGAGATTTTATTTTCATTTTCCCTTTCACAGTGTCTTTAGAATATTTATTCTTCCATGCTCTCATAATTCTGAGTACCCAGTCTGAGTCATGTTGAAAATGTATAATTTTCCAGAAGCTGTAGACATACGATTATCTTGATTCCTGCCTCTTTTGACATTTCCAATCGTCACCCAAAATCTCTACGGTGTTGTAATGATCATACTTTTATGTAGCGTCTTACGGATTACAAGGCTAATATTACCATTTCTCTAATGTCTTTTGCTTCCCTCCCCAAATATGCATTGAAGAGAGAATTCTGAAGGAGTAAAATAACCTCCAACAGCAAAGTCTAAAAGCTCCTCAGGCTATAAGTTTCCTGGGACACGGGATAAGTTGGTTGTCCAACTTTCCATGCAACATCAAGGCAAAGAACTGAGCCTGGGGCCATATCAGAGGTGAGGTCTCTCACTACCAAGCTCTTGGAAACAATGTGAAGTCCTCTCTGTGTAGCTGTGTGTGCATGGAACCTGAAGAAGTATCCATATCACCATGTGTGTTGGCCAAAGGGCTGTAAGCAAGCAAGGTTTTGCATTTTAACACAAATTCATGTGCATGTGTGCTTCCTTCTTATTTAATAACAAAAGATCCTTATGAAGACTGACTATCATTCACCTGTTGAGCCTAACAGAGGTATGTAGTGACAAATTCATGATGACAGAAAATGAACAGAAATATCCTGGGTGAGAAAGAACTCTGAAGGAAGTGCAACAGATTTCCCTTATCCTGGTCTTTATGACAAATAATCTTCATTGCATCAGAACAACTTTCTTTTTTTTTTTTTTTTTCTCTATCATGGAAAAGTCAGGAAAACAAAACACCTTCCAACCAAGTAAGCACAATTAAAAATGCACACATCAGACATGAAGGTTGTTTGGAACTTTGTCTAGAGGGGTAAGTTGGATTTGATACCTGAGAGAGCTTTTTAAGAGAATGATAAAGCCATCGAGTATTACTAGAATGAGAGGAGTCAAGATTCCCTTAGAGTGTCCTCTGCTTTCTGATGGTTTTGTCTAGAAATATGCTATGGGAAGCTATTCTCATCATCAGACTGAGAGCAGGATGTGAAGATGCCACTAATGAGAACACCCACCAATAATCATATGCTATCAGACTTGCAATCATTTAAAGAACTCATTAATCTAAAGAAAATACTTAGAAAGAAACTTTCATAATTAGAATTGGTAAGCAGCCAGCTTTGCTAAAACGAGAGAGTATTTCTTCTTTCTCTGGTTTGACTCAAGACACCTTGATGGATGACAATGTCTTTGATGGAATGAAATATTTTGCAATAACTTTGGGTACAGCTAAGCTGACAACGACATTCTTTAAAACGCCTGTATTTCACAGAGCTTCTCACTAAGATTTCGACAGGTAAACAAGTACACGGTTGCTGATTTGCCTCTGGTGAGCTGCTGTTGAAAACAAATGGAGGAAATGAAGTATACTGCATTATGTTTGTGCCTCTTCAGAGGGGTGTTGTGGTTCTCAAAACAATTTATCATCTCAGCAAAACTTTCACTAACATTAACTGATGTCTGAAAGGGAAAGGCCCTAACACAACAGCTCAGCAAAACAAACAGAGCAGAGTTTGCAGCTTACAACTTGCTTGAGAAAGGGGTATCTCTAAAGGATGTTGCTTTATCTGCAAGTGTTAATTTAACTGCTTAAGGAGGCAGGGTATGAGAGAGTCTTTTCCCTCAGCAGCTGTGTGCAGCACCTGTTGTTTTGCAAGGGATCCACATTCATCCGAACTGGTGAGTAAGCACTCCTTGTTTTTATAGAAAGATTTATAACTCCTTTTAAGCTATACAGGCCAAAAGAAAACTAATAAATAAATAAATAAATAAATAGTAACCCAAAAGACAATTATGACCAAATGGGCTCCTTGCTGCAATGGCAGCTTCAGTCTGTTTTTTATATTACAAACAGGTATCTCCTCCTGTGCCAGTGCCCACTGGAAGTGGGGGAAACAAAGTAGCAGTGGAAAAACAAAGAACATATTAAATGTTTATGCATATTAGGAGGCTTCTAGAGAACTCCTGGGAGCTAACTGATGGAAAGCAAAGCACTGAGACCATTAGCAGCACCCGTTATCCCACCACTCTTTCAGCAGCATGTGGCAATTGCAGAAATTACTTATTTACACCCTGAAGTAGCAGCAAACACTCATTATATAGCACTTCCATGTGGGCACATTTTGCACCATCTCTCAGGTGATACATATTTGTCTAAGCTGTCATAGCTGGTCATCCTGCACTTTCACTGTATTTTCCCAAGCTTTTTAAGGGTCTCTGAAATAAATGATGGAGGAGCACAGACCTAAATACACCTTGGCACCACAATGCCTGAGCCTGCTCGTGAATTCACAGCCTCATCTGCTGCCTCAGTTGCTTACTGATCCACATAATTTCTGACCTTCAAAAAAGATAAATTACTTTTATTACTTATTTACGTTTTGTTGTTTCATTTTGGGTTATTCTGAGTTTAGAGGTTTTTAATATTTTTAAAGGTGTGGTGGTCATACAGTGTCATTCCCAGTGGGTTCACGGTCAGATCTGGTGGATAGTCACAGACATGGGCAGTAAGCCACAAAGACAGCAAAGTGTATGCACATTTAGATAAACGCACAGTGAAATTAAGTGAATTTTGAAGGGAAAAAAATATTCTGAGCCCTGATATTGTTTTGAGAAAAACTACATTTCTTTCGGGGTAAGATTATTTTCTAATCCCGAGACTGGAAATCCACCTGACAGAAGATATGAACTCCATTTTCCAAGTGCTTCTGCTGCAAAGCTTAGCTGCTATTTCAAGTATGTGAAAATTCTGATACGCAACAACAAAATAAGGAATGAAATTAAGAAAAACAGTGAGCTACACACAAAAAAGCTAAGAAATATATACACAAAGTAGAATCAAATGGACTTGATGATCTTAAAGGTCTTTTCCAACCTAGTTGATTCTAAGATTCAAAACTGATACAAATTTCTGTCATATTTTATTCCTAAACTCAGCATCACTTTTAGTAAAGACAAAACTGGAATAAAAAGGTTTGGGTTTTTTTTCCCTAAAAGCCACTTCTTCCCCTTTAACAGAAATAATAAGGCAAAAATCATGGCAGGAAGTAATGTATTTGGGCTAGAAGGGAACTGTGCTTCCTGTATTTAATGGGTTGTTCCTCATTGCAAACCCTTCTCAGAATCAACAGGGCCATGTGGCAAAGAGGGAGAAAGGAAAAAGCCATCTCAAATGTTTTAACGATAGTTTGTTCAACATCTTGCAGCTCCTAGGTATCTCATAGGCATGGTCCTTTATAAATAAAATTGTGATGGCATATTTTTATTATGCTGTGAGTCATGAAATTTGTATCTGCGGGGAGCTGGGGACTTCAGCTTTTCCTCTGGGCTTTCCAGTGCTGTCCACTGGGTCAATTAAAATATCAAGATTTCTTTTCACACAGAACCTTTTCTCTCCCTTTGGTTATTCCAAGTGTTTCACTCACATCTCCCCTGCACAACCTCATCACTATTGTAAATCACAGCAAATTAATGTCGATGCTGGGTTCCTGAAACAAGACTGCTTTTGCCTCTTGACAACAAAACCCCTAAGACAAATGTAAAAAATTCAAATGGAAATACAGTATTAAAAATAAATCTGTTGACAGCTCCTGATAAAATCCTCCAGATCTAGGCTGATACAATGCTCCCTAGCTGACCCTTGGAATAGAAATAGCTTCTAATTCTTCATGCTGCTGAAGACTGTATGTTGGGCAATAAAGAAATGAACAGAGGTTATGGCTTTCATAAAATATTCACACCAGTGGCTCTTCATACAGAAGTTTCTCCTGAGTATGATTAATCACATGCTATTATTTGAAGTTCCTATATCGTGGGAGTTCATGTTTCACTACAATTTGCAGACTGGATTATAGAAAATTAGTTTCAGATAAACTGTTTGGTTCAGGTAGATTAGTCCACTCCGATTACACCTATCAGCCAATTGAACTCTTTCTTGAAACAAAATGGCCATGTCCCTGGGGTTATCCAGAAAGTGATAAACAACTGGGGAGAGTTTCTCTCCACCTGGCAGTAATTGTTCTGCAAGTGCTCTTCTCTTACTTATATCTAAGACAGACATTTATCCTGCTATTTAGTATAATTAAAGCATAGATACCAATGTAAAGCTGCTACCCAGGGAGCTGTTGTCTGATGGCAGCAGATTCACAACATGCACAACAGCTTTAATTTCAATAACATGTTCAGCTGATGAGGAGGAAGAAAAAGGTGAAGTAAGTAACAACATTTCCAGGAGCTCAGGATGAATTCACCGCCAAGAGAGTCTATGCAAGGGACCAGCACAGGCAATGCCCAAAAGATGTGGTGTCCTTTGGCAATTATGTCTCTAACAGTTTGGATGTGAGAGCTGCTGCATTTCCATAATACAAACAGGAATGACACTACCCTTGTTCCAAACAAGGGATCTGAGCCCAGCACAAGAGCCACCAGCTATTTGAAGCCCACACTAATTCATCTCATATATGATTAGAAATTACCAGAAATACATACGGAAACGGGACACCACTATGTGATCACTGATATCATGTCCAATTAGGATTCTATTAATCTTCCAAGATAAAGGCTCATAGTTTGCCAGCTCAACTTACCTCTTACGATGATATTGGTGGACTTTTTTGCAGGATTTCCAACATTGTTATTGGCGATGCAACTGTACGTGCCAGCATCTTCTGACATGATGGCAGGTATTGTTAAAGTCCCACCATTCAGCACGGTCTTCTCGGGCAGGATGCCGGCAGACCTAACCCATGTCAGGCTGGGGGCTGGCTCCCCTCCTGTCGTCACACAGACTAAGGTGATTGCTTCTCCAGGGTTCACCACTATTGGGTCATCCACAAGAAGCTTAATAGAAGGTGATGCTGTAAAATACAAGAGGAAGAGAAAGGTGTAGCAGGGCTGCATCTGTGGTATTGCCTAGTCCTCACAAGCACATTCAAGCCAACAGAGATCAGTGAAGGCACATCAGCTCTTTGCACAAATATGTGTCATCTGAGCAGGGAGCATTCCCATCCCAATGCTCCCCCTAACACCACATTTATCACCCTGATCTGTACCCTGCTCAGTCATTACCCTTCACCTTGCTGTCAAACTGCAGGTGAAGATTTATGTATGGACAACACTGCAGCTATGCTTGGGAAGCAATGTATAATGTATGGGACCAGGGCCAGCACACTGGATTTTAAGCCCTGGAAGAAAGGAATTAGTAACAATCTTATTATTTGGCACAAAAAGCATGTTGTGCTCTTCAAGTCAGATTCTACCCATTGAAAACCAGCCCTCGTAATCCACCTGCGTCCCCAGTGAGCTCCCTGGGACTTGTCTGCCAGCTGAGATGGTTTTGTAGAGTTTGAGTTGGGTCTGTTGACTCAGGAAGAGTCACCTCCCCTGGTACATCATCTTGCACATGAAGAAACTGAGGAGTTCAGCACAAATGCTTTTTTTGCCTATATGGGATATGAAACCTGCAGCTAACAGCACCAGCAGAAAGTGTGGCCACAGCTCCATCTCCTCATAGAAACACAAGAAAGGTGCAGGCTTGGGTCCCTACTAGTCTCTGGGACACAAGCATAAAGGTGAAGGATTGAAATTCTGTGGAAAGAATACCAGAAAAAAGTGACAATAAAAAAAGAAAAGAAATAAAATGTTACAATCAAAAATTGTATCACAATCCTCATTACTACAGAGATATATTCCTATGTATTCTGCTTTATATATGAAATATTGAGGAATACACACTAATCACTAAAGGCAAATACAAGAGCCAACTACAAAATAAGAGTTTTCTTTATTTGGAGTTCACCTAAAAGGAATTACCTTTCTCTGCACACAAATGGGAAGCACTTCATTTATACCTACACCAGCAAGAGTGAACAGGCAACCTCCAGACAGAAAAGCACTTGAAGAGAGCAGGAGAGCAAAGATTTACAGGCAAAGCCCCCTAATCCAGCTCCTCCCAATTTGTGACCCTGCAGGTAATTCCCAGGTTCACGTAACCAACTTAAAGGTGAAGAAACTGGGTGGATGGCTAAAAATACAGACAGAAAACAAGTCAGCACTGCCTACTGTCAATGTCTCTTTGCTTATGTCCTCTGATCTCTCATTCTTTCATGCATCCATCAGCTGAGGGACCCCTGTTTTACGATTAGAGGTATGAAACTGGGCAGTATATCGTGTTTCATGATTAAAGAGATTTTGCTTGGGCAAAGGTGACAGGACAGAAGCAGGGATACAGGTACTCACTGTGCAACTAGAACTGAGGTCCAAACCCGTAGGGTCATCACCAACCAGGGCATAGCACTAAGCTGATCCTTCTTTCTCTGTCCTTCCCTCCCTCCTGAGTTTAATGATTTTTCCTGAACACATGTGGCAAGCAGCTGATCTCTACTCTCACTAAACATCAAGTCATGAGGCAGAGAACAAGAGAACCACAAATAATGCTTCAAAACTTAGAACAAAAGATGAAAGCTCCAACAATGTCAACCCAACCTTACCGTAATGGCCTCATAATCCTCCAGGTGAAAAGGGGCCCTTTGCCATCCTTCAGGTAAAGAGACAAAGACAGCAGCTGATGTGATAAAAATGCTGTGATACATCCCTTTCATCACAGCACTCAAATCAGTAAGTACATGAAAATTACGGTTTGCATACAGCAATTTCTCTTTACTTACACCACATATTACACTTAACTACAACGTATCTCACTAGACAAACACAAACAAAAATTCAGCAATACACTCAACTATTAAAAGTGAGATCTAAATAAAAGAATATTAAGAAATTCAGAAGAGATATAAAGGTATCCTGCAAATGAAACTCAGTGTAGAATGTAAAGGGTCAAATGCCTATTATGAATGGAATATGGATCCGCAGCAACAAGAAGATACTATTTTGGTTATTTCTTTGCTTGAAAGCCTATACATGTTCTGCACTGTATCGCAATGCACCAGTAACACAGAACCTCTTATTTTCAGCTTTAGGATGAAACTGAGGACAGAACTGGGTCCACTGCACAGCTTGCCTCATTTATTGTCATGGGGACATTGCCAAATTCCGGCCTAGGAATGAAGAGATTGCAGGTTTCTGGCTAGTTACTTGGACTTTGTCCTTCCATCGCTGAAGCACTCTCAGCCCCATCACCAGCCCATATTTGACACCACAACCTCCACTCCCAGTGTCACCAACATCAACCTCTCCTCCTTCCAGCCAGGGGTGAGGAGAGGTAGAACTCAACACCCATCTGCCCACATGCCAAACATGAGTCTGAGACCTGTGATTTCTTGTCACAGCTCTGAGTGCCTGTCAGAAAGGAAAGAGGAAAGAGAAAAAGAGAGAAGCAGGGAATTAGCCAGGGAATGAAGGAGACAAATGGCAAAAATCTCAAACCACTCAGTAACTCCAGCAATGTGCTCAGACACAGTGGGGTGGCAGAAAAAACGGTTTTAGCTCCAAGTTAGAGTGCTTGTGTTCACTTCTCTACATCTGCCTGGGCCTACATGCAGAAATGAATGGGGCTAAATCAGAAGTTTAGGAACCTGCTGGAATACCTGTTTAATTGACTTGGGTTAATTAACTATGTAAGCCTTCTGCAGGTCTACTTTACCAGATAGCTCCTCTGTTTCACTCAAAATTCCAAACTGGAGAAACCTCCAGCTGCTCCCTGCAGGATGCTGCACACAGCAGCCACTTCCCACAGACTGGGAATACAAAGCTGTAGCAGAGGAAGGAGTAACGAAGGCACGGCAATAAAACTCCATGTAACAGCAGGGGCAGTAAGCCTTGGACTGGGCTGCTCAGGGTTGCTGAAGAATCTTGCTCTTCCAGATTTTCTGAGCAAACACCTGCTAGACAAGTCTTATGACTAGTTCCTGTTTGAGCTATGGAAATGGAGCTCACTATCATGTGAGATTTCTCCCTCTTCTAGTTTCAGTGGCAGCAAGAGCTACTGACAAAAGGCAAATCCTCTGCCTTGAGCTATCTTCTTGCAAGAATCTTTCCCTGTGGTCCCCATCTCTCTGGTGACTGCAGACAGTCCAAAGATTAGTTTAATTTAAAGGTTGAGATTTAGATGGCAGAAGATGAGTGACATCAATCCTACCTTTACGATGAAGATTTACAAATGCAGCAGGAGCCTATAGTTGGGAATGGGCAGAAAGTGCCAGTTATCTATAAGAACAATATACATGTGCCAGCCTCACATTGATCCCAGTGTTTTGCAAATCTATTTGATCCTTGCACTTTCAGAAAATGGATTTTTTTTTTGCCTAATCCTCTCTCTAAAATGAATTTAATCTCTATTTGTAAACTTCTTCTCTAAAACAAAATTCTCCTCTCAGTTATTTGTAAACTTTTGAGGCTAAACACCACATACAGCATAAATCCGAAATGTTTAATTCAGTGTCACACTTCTCTTTTTTTTTCTGGTCCAGAATGATTAAAAAATGGAGTAGGCATTTATAAAGATGACAAGATGACCCAGAGCAATTATAATAGTTGATGATTATACCAAAATATTGTTGAAGGCTATTAAAACCCATGCTTCAGGGCATAAAATGTATCTTTTTTCCCTGGAACAGGAGGGGAAACTATCACGTATCTGTCTACTGCACACTTTTTATGCACTCTTCTGAAATGCCTGCTGCTGGCTCTTGTTAAGGACAGACAAGAGATCTGATCCAAAAGGACAGCTCATGTGTTTATACATCCTTTGCATTTGTAAAGCATCTGGCATGACTGAACACTAACTAGGAGACCCATGATGCAGTCACAGCAGTTCAAGCTGTGATATTTGTTTAGATAGCAGGAGATCATGGAATTGAGTCAGAAGGAAGAGGAGATAAAGACACCTCTACCCCCACAAAAAAAAAAAAAAATAATCTAACTTACTAAAATGACACTACTGTAAAAGCTAGTACATGCACTTGTGTATTCCTGGTACATGCCTGAAATATGCTAGTTTTGCCTTTACTGCATGCATTGCTTTGGGGAATCAGGCTACAGCCACCAAGATACAAGTGGTTTCCCCCAATGGCATCTACAGCTGGGGGAGCAGACACACAGCTCTGAGCAGTTTCCTTCCACTTGTTTATCCAAAACAAGGCTAGAACCAATACTGACATTCTGCCTGCTCAATTTTTGAACAGCACAGGTCACCTAAGCTTTTTGAGGCTTGTGAAAACCATTGCGTCCTTACAAAGAGGCTTTCACATGGTCCCAACCAAGAGAATTCAAAAGGATGCATACTGCAGTGACAATAAGCCAGCAATTTATGCGTCAAATCTTAATTATGTTTTACAGTATTTAGTTTTACCAAGCAAGGTGCTTTGTTGGTTGCCACCTTTATGCAGGGCTCTTCTTACATGAAAGGCACTTCAAAATCAAGGGCTTCAAAGCCCCCAGAACTCAGCAGGTATATGTGCAGTCCCAAAAAAGAAGACGCTCAACTGCATTAGCCCAGAATTTTTCTCTGTGAAGCAGCTGCCCTTTGGCATAAGAATGAGCTCCTTAGTTTCTGCTTGAATCATGCACAGATCCCATAAATTTCCATGGAAAGGTTTAATTCAGAGATATACTTTATTTTTTTTCTACTGCTGTATTCTTCTGGATTTAGTTTAATCTTGCATTATGTCACTTATTTCTTCCTGCTGTCTTCCTTCTTATTCATTTCCTATCCTAGCTAACTAGTCTGATATTTTATTATTTTTTTTTTAACCAAAGAGTCTGTATTTATTATTTTTTTTTTTTCATTTTTAGCCCCAGAGTTCCATCTGTTCATACCAGAAAACCCTGGGTCATGGTTTGGGTCACGGAGACACACTGGCACGCACAGATACAGGACTGGTACCCTCAATTTCATGTAATT